CAATGCCCGAATATCAAGAAATTAAGAAAATGAGTCGATTTTGCGGACAAAAATAAGGGTCGATGAAATGGTGAGTACGTACCTATGAACGATGGTGGGATACCTGCTGAGGCATTTAACCTATGGAAGACTGCGCAAGTCGGTAATCGAACCAATTCCGTCGCCCCTTCATCATTCCCGTGAGGTTCGCTTAGGATACCTTGTTGTGTTTGAGTCGAACGAATGAAGTATTTAACTGACTCCAGCTTCCTAGATACATCCTCCGGAATACCAACTTCTAAACGTTGACCAGATACCACTTCAAGAATCTCCGCTGGGTCATCATCATTTTCCATAATACTTGAGTCGGATTTCTCAGAGGTTTCTTTCACAGAGGAGGAAAAATGGTTCTGGAGAAGACTCTCTTGGGTATGTTCTGTATCCAATTTGTCTTCAAGGCCCTAGGTCAAGACATTCAATCAGAAATGTGAAAGACGAACGTTGAGAATCCGATATTCACCTTGGCCCAAGTCCAGAAGGACATCAACAACATCCTGAAGAGTATGAATTAATCAGAAAGGCTGGACGGTAAAGACAAGCTTATCCGTATACGTACAGAATACAACCGATCATCAGAGGAACCCAAGCACCTTCTGGTACTTTTTTCAAAGAAGCACCCCAAAAGAGACCTAGACAAAGAAATAAGATGTGAGAACGTTTGTAAACTTATTGTATGGAAAGGTACGGCGTATGGCATACCATCCAAAAATCCAAATACAAGCAAGAAGGCGGCGGAGACGATAATGTGCCAATGTTTAACGTATCTCATCTGAATTGATATCAGAATTGTCGTCGAAAACATGACAGTTGCCACTGAGAATCTATATTAGATCGGCATGAGTGGTTTCGATTAGTGAGAATATTAGAACGGAGAGGGATGTGGGCCAAAATGACTCACCCATAAGCATTAGTGAGAGCTACCGGGTTCTTGAATACACCGACAACGAGGATTGTAATGAACATTACTAGTAGAAAATACACGAACGTAAGCTTTCAAATGCCGATGACATGAATATATAATCTTGACGGTGGCTTACAGAACCAGTTGACGGCAGGGATGTAGACTTGACCACGAATGGTTTCTGATGTGTAGACAGTTCGCAAGCTATGTATTCGGTGAGCTGGGCTTGATGAACGTATGATATGGGAACTTACGGAGGTACGACATGCATGCTCATGAGTTGTTGAACCAAACTGAACGATGCTGTAATCAAAGTCTGGCAGGCAATGAACTAAGAACGTATCACAATTGTTACTGAGTTTCCTTCAAAATATGGAGCAAACACATAGTACTCACAGTTGCTAAGATAGCAAAAACAAACATGATCCTATGATCACGAATTTGGGTCAGAATGGACTGGGGCTGAGACCGACGTGAAGAATGTTCTGTATGCTCACCAGTACAAAGGCCCGTTGACGGCACCTGGAATCGTAGCATAGAACAAATTCGACAAGACTGTTTCTCCATCGACAATCAAACGAGCACCTTGACCTAGATAAGCCAGGATGACTGCTGGGTACACAATGCAGCTGAAAGATATCTTTGAAACAAAAGGAGGTTAACCTCGAAGTCACGGATAGTACACAAATAAAGATAATCACCTGAATAGACAGGGCAGTGAAGTGGCCCATACTACAAGCGGTGGATCGTGAGAACGCTGAAGAACCTGAGATATGCATGAACATACCTAGCAAACATTGCCTCACATCCTGTCAAAGCTAGGATAACTCCGGCGAGGATATCGTAGTTCTTGGTCCGCACAAATACTATCAATTGATTATCAATATCAAAGTAGTATGTCATTTTGAACGAAGGATGAAGGATGGAGACGCACAGAGAATAGCGCGAGACGGGTCGAATGCTCTGAAGACTCCAGGATATTGACAAATATTGACGATACCAGTAGCAGCGATAAGAGCAAACCAGGCAGCAGTGACTGTAATGAAATGAAGTCATTGTTAGATCGAGATTTTAATAACGATGCAAGCAGTTGAGAGTATTCTTACCCGGTGCGAAAGTAAATCCAAGTTGCGAGGTCCCTCTAGATTGCACAAGGAAGAATACGACCAAGAAAGCCTACAACCTCGTTATTCTTACGTTGACGAAAAATAAAATGAGAACGTACAATCGAGATGGGTATAACACTATTCTCAACGCTCGGTTTAGCAATCGCGATACCAGCCACAGCACTAGTGACCGATACTGCCGGAGTAAAGATTCCATCAGCAAGCGTTAAACTTGTACCAAAGATACACTGTATACACGATCAAAGTAGGGTTACTGGAGGTTTACGGTACGTCTTGATTGTATGAACTCACCCAAAAGAAGAGAGGCCACCGAGCCTTTTCAGATATCGTAGGCGGTACCTTCGCTGATCGTTCAGAACCATGTTTCGCCTGTATTTTCTCGAGAGTAAGGGAATCTCTGTGGTCGTTATCGAACTCCATTTTTGGCGGGAATAAACCTTGATACAATGCAAAGGTTCCCCCTTCTCCTTCACCGGTTCCGAATCGAAGACAGATGAATACCTGAGGTTAATATACTATCAGTGAGGCTACCCCATGATCACTCGCAGTGTACTTACATATTTGCAGAGAGGAAGCAAAGTCAGTGCCCAGATGATAGCACTCAGCCCTCCGATCACATCCTCTTTAGGAGGGACCGGTCCCGTAGTCGGCCATAAACCGTTCAGAGTGTACAAGGGCGACGTCCCGATATCAGAATAGACTATACCTGTTGGTAATTAATTACCTTGTGAGTGACAGCTCAACGAACGGGGTTGTAGAATTACCCAATGTTTGAAAACTGAGGGTAAGGATAGCACCCCAGGTAAACTGAGGAACTGGGCTTCCTTTCCTGAAATTCCCACTTTCAATACCCGTAGCAACACTGTTCGGAGACATGAGGGAGAGGGTGGAGATGAGTTTGGAAGTGGGAAATGGGAATCAAGAGCCTCAAGTTCGAAGGATTCGACTCAGCGAGAACTCTTGGAAGGAAGAGAAGTGAATTGATGTGCGTGACTGCTATTTAAATGGTTAATGGACGGTATGCGCTCGATCTAAGGCATAAAACCTCTCACCTTTTTCTTGGCGCAGTCATAACCTTTATCTCTCTCGAAAGGAGGAGATTGAAGGCCATTGTACAACAGCAATAACAACGCATGCCTATCGAGGCGCGCTGTCAAGATGGAACTTGTCGATATTCCCATCTTTCCTATCTTCCGCGAGCGGCGATATTCACTCTGTTTGTATCGCTGTTTTGGGTTATAGATTTTCGAAGGGTGTGCCATGCCCTGTTGTATTTTCCTGTGTTGAGTAATTTAGGCCGTTGGACAGAGGTCCAAAAGATGGAACAGTAGAGCCTGGTCTAAAATTGCGAGATGGAGGGGGGTTTTGGGAACATCAAGCTTTATTTGGCATCGCAAAATGCAGACATGGTGAACTCACATGCTAGTAGTTTGGCAAAATGTGAAGTGCGTCGCGACGAGTCGCGATTTGACATCAGGCTGATATTGCGAGACGACCCAGATTACTTGAGCTATATAGGTATATACCGATATGATAGTAGCATAAACAGTGAGTAAATGAATTTTGCGAATGGTCCAAAGAGTTTTTGGAGGTTCAGCTTCAAGTTGAAGTTGATGCAAGACACTTCAAATTCCGAGGCAAAGCAGTCAAATTCAAAGTTCTCAGCATCACCTGACTATGCTAGATGTGATAGGCCTAGACGCCTGCATAATTCGGATAATGAGCATCCGTAACTCTGCGACGAGTCTCCTCCTCCTCCTTTCAGATGAACGTCCATATCGTACTCGTCCGAGCTGACGAGAATGCATTTTCAACGAATATTTATACGAGCAGCTTCAACTAACTCCTCGTCTTTTCCTTTTCCGAGCCATGCGCGTCCAACTCCTTATCAAATATTCCACTTACCGGTCGGTGCCAGTCAGAGGGAAATTAAAGCTAGATGTCAGTGGTTCTTCTGTACAAAATCATCTACAACTCGACTTACCCATAATCTCTTATATTTACTTCAGATTATGATTTAGTTCGTTTGCATCATCCAGATTCTCCCCATTGCAGACATCTGTCACCATCACTTCGGCATAAACATTTCCAGTCTATAACTGCCGCATACGAGATCCTCAAGAACCCTCACCGTTCTACAGACGATGATCTTATCCGTAGCGAGATTGCTCGTCGGAGGAGAGCACAAGATAGACGAACTCAGGAAGCTTACATAAGACGAGAACAGGCTGAGATGTTTGGCGGTGGTGGGATGTATCCACCGAATTGGAATTCACCACCGACTGAAGAGGATATATGGAAGGACAGGGTCATTATTGCTGTTGGCATCTTTGTGAGCTATGCTCGCTGAAATATCATGCTGTTGTTCTGATTGTGGTTTCAGTCTCTGAGTATAGGTGTATTCATGCCTCTGCTTTGGCCTTTGAACAACATTGATAAAGTTCATTTGGCTGCCTCCGCTAACCTTGCACAAGCGAGGCGAGAGGCGAGAGAGTTTGGTCATGAGCGAAGACAAGAAATCAGGAAACGAGTTCAAGAACATAGAGAAGGCTTAGAGGGAGCTACCGAAACGTCGTCCAACGACTCCAATTGATCTTCTTCTGGAATCGTACCTACTACACTCATGCATGTGTAGGTTGTTGTACCATAGAATCCACAGCATTTCTAAATACAGTTACTGCAAAACAGTCAATAATGATACATTCTGATGTTGGCAAGACCAGTTACGCTACAAATTCGCTCGGCGTGGCACGAATTTTGGCTGAGAACTTCTATATCTACTATCTTTCTATCTCAATGCATCTCGAATCCTGTCTATTCACTGATTGTTTGCTCGGTATGAATGTGTTTACCTTCTTCAAGTTCTTAGGTCATAAACGGTGTATCCCTGCGCTCTACGCACTGTATATGGATTACCATATCTGAGCTTTTAAGCCTGCCTAGCTCAATCGGATAGAGCGTCAGACTTTTACGAATGCGATTTCGCAATAACGAAATCTGAAGGCTGCGGGTTCGACCCCCGCGGTGGGCTATAAATGGTCTATTTCCATTTTTCCTTAAGTACATGGCTGGAGCCTGTTGCACAAAGTTTGATCATGTCTTCAACGTATGCGTTTCGTCTGCGTCGAGGTCACAAATCTCATTGAACGTCATTTTTCATTAAGGCAGTGAGAAACGATTTGTTCATAGATTGACCCTAGAAAGATATGTCAGAACAATGACTGTCTTTTCTTTTGATGGTCAGATTTGAGAATTTATAGCAACATGGGATCAAGTCTCGTACAGTCTGGTTAACATTTGTTACAGTGTAACCTGGCAAACATGTAATTCATATTCGCGGAGCTAAAAAAAGCTTACATAATATTTAGCCGGCTTTCTATGTTTTTGGAGTTTTTGCCCTCCGACACTGCTGGCAGCCTCTTCAGGTTCTCCTTCTTCGCAATGGTGATGACTTCGAGTTCAGAGATATCGGTAACTATCGTTTGCGGATCTCAAGTCTTCCGAACGACATCATATAGGATGAAAATCTATTTTTGTTCCTTATTGCCGGCCACGCATTTTTTCACGGTACTTAGGTAAGTTTTTCATTTTCCTCGCCTATGGCTATAATACCTCAACTCCAAACTGACCGTTTTCTGCCCATTGGAACTTGAGAGAATATCGCTATTCAGGCTCGTTCTAGTTGCCGTCAAGTGAAGAGTCCTCCGGCCTTCATCGTTCTGAAATTCATTCCTTTTTATCCCTCGTTCGTGGTCGTTATCAAAATCACAGTGAAGCGCTCCTATATAAATGAACAGGTCGTAAAAACAACACTCTGTTCTTTTCATCGTTCTTTTCCTGCAAATTTCTTCGTCGTCTCTGAAAGGCTCACTATGTCTTCTGCAGCTGAGAACGGTCACGAACCCCCAACTCGTACTGCTCTCAAAGTCAGCGGTTTAGCCCTTCTTACGCTGAGTTTCCAGTCACTAGGTAGGCAGTAGCTTAAATCCCTCCTGACGCTATCTGACATTTCGTGTCAATTTGGCTGGATGAATCTTGTCTTCTTTTCCCCATCTAACAGGGATCATTTACTCCGACATTGGTACTTCTCCGCTATACGTTTTGAATGGTATTTGGCCTGCCTCGGGCCCTGTACCGTCTAAGGAAGACGTGATCGGGGGATTAAGCGCAATCATATGGTCTTTGACTTTGATCCCTCTTCTGAAATATGTGCGCCCTGTCTCTCAATCTTTCCAACGACCTTATTGCAACTCCTTTCCAGGTCTTCATTACCTTGCGATTTGGTACCGGCGAAGGTGAAAAAACTCACTTTTGTGTATCAATGTAACGGTGCAGGTGTTCTGAAACCAGACTTTGAACGATGTAGGAGAAGGCGGCTCGTTTGCTTTATTCCAGGGCTTGTTCCCACCCGAGCACAAGGATTTCGACTCCGACCGTATTCTTACTGGAGACAGCAGCTTGAAAAACCCATCGTTGACTGCGAAGTTACCTGAGAGATGGCGTTGGCCTTTACTCTTATGGGTGCGTGTCAGAGAAGTATCGGATCACTATTGTGCTAATCGCATACTTCCAGGCTTTATTTGGTACGAGTCTCACACTTGCCGACGGTGTTTTCACTCCTGCGGTCTCGGTCACCAGCGCAGTGGCTGGTATTGCCATCGCGAAGCCTGAAATATCAAAGGATGTTATCCCGATTTCTATTGTACGGCACACTATCGAGACTTTTATTGGATGACCTCCCAACCGACGTTTTTCATAGGCGTTCTTGGTGGTTTTGTTCTTGATTCAGTCAAGGGGTACCTCAACACTGGCGTTTGTTTTTGCTCCAGGTATGTACGAAGCAGCCGGTCACTCGGTTCTCGTTAACACCTTTGGATTGGCAGTCACGTTCGTTTGGATCTCCCTGCTTGCATGTACTGGAATCGTAAACATTGTTTCTTACCCTGGAATATTTCGTGCGCTCGATCCATCGCGAGCAGTCCTTCGTAAGTAATTCCGTGCTCATATGCACGATCGAGGATCTCACTGACCCGTTCCAGTGTTTGTTCGAACGAGGGATTACGATATTTTGGCCGGTATCTTGCTGTCTGTGACTGGATGTGAAGCGCTATTCGCCAAGTGGGTTCCATCCAGCATATTCATTATTCCTGTCCAACAACTGATCAGAATGCATCTCATTTCAGCTTGGGCCAGTTCAACAGACTTTCTATCCAGGTGAGTCGTTGCCAATATTATTACCGGTAAACGACTCCTCATATGTGGATAGTTGTCTTTTGGATGTTTCGTATACCCTTCGCTTGTATTGGCATACCTTGGACAAGGCGCACGTCTTATTGTAGACGGTGAGAAGGTGCTGTCGAATTTGTTTTATGCAACGATCCCAGGCGGTCAGAACGGGCCACTTTTCTGGTAAGTTACCATTTCCTTACTTAAATCATTCTCGCGTTTCTGACAGAACGGGCGACGTCAGGATTCTCTATGTATTTGCGGTATTAGCTACGGTGAACCTCCTTTTACGATTTATCGAACCAATATCGTTTCTTATGTGCATCTCGCTTTTAGCTCATTGCATCCCAAGCTATGATCACTGCTACGTTTAGTTTGGTTCAACAACTGATCAACATGCGTAATTTCCCTCCGTAAGATTTTACTACAACCATCATAATTTCCGATCTCAACAATCATCATTATTCTGTTCCAGTCTTCGTCTCCACTACACCTCCGACAAAAGTCAAGGACAAGTGTACATCCCATCGGCAAATTGGATTTGTACGTATCTCTTTAACACCTCCTTGATAAGGTTCGAAACTTACGCGATCTCGCAAAGTGATGATTGCTATAATTATTGTCATCGCAGCTTTCAAGAATGCAACGGCTTTGACAAATGCTTATGGGTAAGTTGGTCATTCACCCGAATACTCTACACCCAATCCTAAAAGCTTTTCGTTACATAGATTTGCCGTATCGACTGTCATGTTTGATACCACTGTTTTACTTGCTGTGCAAATGGTATACGTCAAGCACTTGCCAGTTATCATAGCCATCGCTTTCTTCCTTATCTTTGGATTCTTTGACGGTGAGAGCATCTTTAATCTGTTGATTGGGGCTACAGCTCACTGAATTCACTTTAGGTCTTTTCTGGGGCGCTGCGTTGAAGAAAGTCCCGAAGGGCGCATGGGTCCCATTGATGATTGGTGTCATTTTGTATGCATGGCCTCTCTACCCTCTTACACCATCTTTGTGAATAACACTTTTTTTGCAGGATGTCCATTATGTCTTTCTGGACGTGGGCGAAGGTAACGATTTTCCTCTTCTGTGCCTTTCCGTCTCGGTTTTAACATCACATTCAACATTGTAAAGGGTCTCGAAGATAAATTCGATGGAAACAATCGACGTAACCTTCGTCATATCATTCTTCGCAAAGATGTGGACGATACAATTCAAGTTCGCCCGTCCGTCCCAGTAGATGACGCCGAGCCCAATGAGAAAGAACAAGTTGAACACGAACATGATGTGAAGAAACCCACCTATTATGTGTTGGAGAACCGAGATTTTGCTAGTGATCTTGCTTCAGCTGCTAGTGAAGGTCGTATGAAAGCTCTGTCTACGATTCCGACATGTGCAATATTCCATAAGTTGACATTTGGTCGAGGAGTACCACATACATTTGTTGGTGAGTTGATATTTTAACGAGACGATGCTCTGTTACCGAGGGAACGATATCTGAATTCTCTTCATCGTAGGCTTCTTGCGTCAATGGCCTGCGCTTCCTCGTGTCGTTGTAAGTTTTTCATTCTATCTCTATAATCGAACTGTTCAAGAATGATTCTTATTGCATATAGATCTTCTTGTCTGTCCGCGTGTTGCCAACGCCGAGGATTCCTAGTCATGAAAGATATGCTGTCTCGAAAGTTCGCACTATCCAAGGTACGTGAGATCCATTGTTCAGAGTCCATGATAACTACTAACCCTCTACATTTATGAATACAGGCTTCTATGGTGTGACTTATCACCTTGGCTTCCGTGACGACTTTGATGTCAAGGTAAGGCGTCTTTCCACCCATTATCATATTTTTATTGACCTTTTCCCTCAGGTCGAAGAGATAATTGAACAGATTTGTTCAATAGAAAGACGTGCAGATCCCGCCGGTTCCGCTGCACTGATACGAGAGATTCAAGAAGTGGCCCAAAATTCCACTCACATGTAAGAACCTCTTGAAATTCCATATTCATCTCTCTACTAAATGTATCTCGTCCTTGAATTTGATACCAGTGTCCCTCACTATATGATCTCTAGTAAAGATATCAATGGTGGACGATTGTTGACAGTCGTCAATTATTGTCGAAGATTCCTTATCGAGGAAATTTATCGCCGGATTGGTAAGTTTTTTTTTATTTACCTCTCGTACGAATTGATACCCATGTGTATCTCCTTTTTTTCCCCAAAGCGACCATGTTTCCGGAGACTGAAAATTGGCAAAGTCCTCCGGATAGGTATGTCACTGAATAATCTCTATCCACTCGTCACAGAATCTGATTTAATGTTGATGTCATATAGGATTGTTCATGTTGGCATCAGCGCTGCCATTTAACGATAATGAATTCATGAGTTCAACTCCTTTGGTCCTTTTGTAGAAGGTTATTACCACATGATTAGAATTTCGAAATGAGGAAGAGGAAAGTTGTAAAAATGTACTAACATTTCCGGTAGAACTTTTTTGTGTTAGAGTATGATAGACTGCGATATCTGTAGCATTTGTATAGACAGGATTTTTTATATTCAATACCCATTATTCTCAATTTGTCTGACGTTCATTGAAGATGAGTTTGGTTCTACATACAAGTTGCCTTCGATCTTTATTATATAAACTACCGGCCGCGGATACTGATCTCGGGACAAAGGAAGCTCAATCGTCGCTTCAGTGCACATTCAAGTGATATATAAGTTGAGGATGATTACATGAAAGTAGTACACGATTAGATCGGAATTTCGAGTCGTTCATGCAGATGGTTCCCTTGGAAGTTCCAGTT